TTTCCAAGAGTATTTTTAGTGACTCTCTTTTAATGTATATAGTTCATGTTTGATTCAATATTTTCCTTATTCCTGAGGATAACAATTATAGCTTTTTAAATTATTTTCCTGCTTTTTATATCATTTATTTCTTTTTTGTTTGTTTGTATTAGAAGCTATTCCTCACCGTCTTATGATTCAGAGCTGCCATGCTTCTTTAGTCTGAAGCACTAGAAATCTAATTGAAAGCTCTGTGTGGAACCGGGGAGCAGTAATGTCTCTTGGCAACTAGTGGGCTTGCCAGTAGGGCAATTGGATGGCCCACTAGCTTTTCAGTGGATCACCTCCAACCATGCATTGTGGATTCTCAACTTGGCCCTGATGTTCTGGGAGCCACGTAGAAGCAAGGGGCTGGGTAGGGGTACGAAACGAGGTTGCCATAATTTTTTTATGCATGCTTGCATTTCACCTTTAACCTCCATCTTAAAAATATGCCAGGTGTTCCCCTAGTCTGAAGCCTCTCTAGTTCAATGTCTCCATGGAATAAGATCCCAGGTCTAATTACAAGGATCGAAGGGAAATAATTACCTGATAAGAAAGCTAAGTCTGGCTTGTGGAAGCAAAGCAGGGTTGGCCTATTGGGAGTTTTACAGATCGAGCAGTGTGTTAATGATTACTTTGGCCAAGATGTAGGCAACACAGGAGTGAAGGTAAGTGAGGTGTGGTTTGGGATCCTAGGTTACTGGGCTTCCTAGTGGGTAGAAGGACATCAGCAAAAGATAATCTGAATTACCATGGCATCTCGCCTTGGGGTTTTCCCGAAAACAGAGCCTGAGTTAATGAATTAAAGTGAAGTTAATTTGGAAGGTGATGTTCAAAACAAGTGAGAGAATGAGGAGAGTGAGACAGAGAAGGGAGAAAAAACCACAAAAGAATGAGTTAATGAGTTGGGAAATAGCGTGGGCAGTTGAGGCTCAAACCCAGTCAAGAGCGTCTGGGGAACTAGTAGAACAGATCTCAGAAATGTCGCAAACGAAATGCAAGTAAAGTAATTTCTCTATTGACTCTCACTGACCCTTTTGTAAGGGTCACCCCTGCAAGCATTAAGATCCCCCCTCACACTTCAGAGCAGTGGCTGTTCAAGGACTAAAGGGTCTCCCTCTGCTTTGGCGAGAGCTCCTAGCTGCCAGCAAGGAGATGCTGAGACTGAGATGCGGCATGCTGGCAGAACGTGTGGGACGTTCATCTCAGCTGCAGGGAGATCAGTTAGACTAAGAGCACATAGTGAAAGACACCAGGAGGATCTGCTACTCGAGTGGTGCAAGTCAATGATGTAAGTGACCGATCAGGAAAGAGAAGCTGTCGCCTGGCTCAAGAGAATCGAGGTGAAAGATTCAAGCGGAGATCCTGCAAGGAGCCCTCAAAAAGGTCCAAATGACAACGAACCAGCTTTCAACACCTGCCAGGCATGGAGAAAGCAAAGCCAGCTTCAGAGGGACCAGCTCCATTCTTTTCCTCTTCCTTTTGCTACCCTTCCCTATGCCCAGACCCTTAAGCCACCTGGCCAGCACGCTGGGCATTTGGAGAGAAGAAATCCAAGTCCATGTCCCCTTTCTCCACTGGGGACTTCGAGCCTGGGAAAGTGATAAAGTGCAGCCTTTAAATCAAGTTTAGAGTTTTCATTAATATCCTCAATTGGATACTGATTTGCGAACCAAGACTGTTTACAATTCTCTATAATCATAAGAACTACATGTTACCTAAGAATGAGCAGAAAAGTTTTTATCTTGGGACAGGCAACATCCAGTCCTTCCAAATAAAGTTCTATCGGGGGTGTGAGAGAAAAATAAAGTTCGATTTTGATTGCAGCATTGGTTGTCATTTGATCTACATTTAAATGAAATAAAATTCATTTCTGCTTTTTATCCCCCCTGGGGGGGCCCTATTTTCCCAAATGAAAAAGGTGATGAAGGATATGGCAGACAGGAAGTTTGGCTTAATACTATGAGAAAGAATCCAAACCGATGAGCACTGCTCACAGGCTTGGTGTGGTCCTGAGCCTACTGGTTCCTCCCAGTCACATGATACTCTCTTCCACAAATTCTATGCTCCAGGCACACCGAGACGCTTCCCCTTCCTGCAGGGCACCAGAATGCACTTCTTCCCCAGTCCTTTGGATTCGTTCTCTCTCCCCTCCTGTCACATTCCACCTTCTCTTTCAGTCTAACTACTTATTATTCACTAGATCTCAACTTAAATGTTACCTCCTCCAAGAAGACCCCACGAGCATCTAAGTCTACATCACGTGTCCTTCCAGGTGTTGACATAACTCCTGGAACTCCAACTCTCCTGGCACCTTATCATTACCATATTTATTTGCTTACTTCACAGTGCACTCTTTGCCCTCACCCGTTACCATAATCTCTGTAAGAGGTGGTCTGTCTGGTTCACATCTGCAATCTCTGTAGCTAGCACAGTGTCTGGCATATAGTGGAAACACTCACCAAATTAATTAATTCATATGTGTGTTTTCATAAAACGTCTGACAAATGTACACAAATTAAGCCACAGATTTTCTTAAAAATCAGCTTTGCAGAAAAGAATAAAATGATAAGAAATTGGAAATATCCCGAAATCTTCAGCATTTATGGTGGCAATATATCATATATCCCTTAAGAGTATGTTTCTCAAACTGTGGTCCCTGGACCACAGTAGCATCACTCGGGAGCTTGCTAGAAATGCAAATTCTCAGCATCTCCCTCCAATCAGAAACTCTGGGAAAGAGGTCCAACATCTGTGTTTAATAAGCCCTCCAGGGTACACTCAAGTTTGAGAACCACTGCCTTAATATTTAAAATACCCTTCCCTGCAAAGTGCTTGTCATATTTGGAAGGAGATGGTGTCTATTAAACAACGCTGAAAATTGAGACCCATATGATCCCCCTCTTTTTGATGCCATTCAAGTTAACCATCTAAACTAAAGACCAACACAGTCCATTACCAGAGGACTCAGCTGGAAAGGATTACAACTGAGCAGCATTGTCAACATCTACAAACGGGGTCCAGGTGCATGCATCTGGTACTCCTGGCTAGGAAATCACTGGATTACTTGCTTCATTTAGTTCTACGTTTTAACAATCTGACATTTTAAACTGCTCGGCTGGGGTTTTAATCAGATGGGCCCATCTCTGTGCCTATCTTGGCATGACAACTTATTTTGCGGGAGAGTTGAATTAGTAAGGGTGTTAAGCCTCAGGTTTGGCCAAGGGGAGAGGAAGTGACACTTGAAATGTTTGGCCAATCCATATGTGACCTTGAGATGCGAAATTGAAGCCTCCAGGTGGACAAAAACTTCAGGAAGAGCCATATAGAAATCATCCAGAACCTTCGGTATTTGCTAATTCCTTTACCCAAGGAGGATTTGTAGTCTTAAAACCCTATCAAGTTCAGGGAGATGGGAAGTCTTGCATCTTAAATCAGATTTTATGTTATCTATGAGGGTCACCAACAGGAACAAAAAAGACAGACCTAAGACACTGGAAGGACAATAAGTTTTGAAATAACTATAAATAAATAAATATGCCAGAACACAAACAAACAAAAAAACAAAAGAAGGACCAAGGAAAGGAAGAAAAGAGTGAAAAAATTTCAGTTCTAGCTAACAAAAAACAGATAATTAATAAATTGTGTGCAAGACACCATATTGGGGAGTTAAAGAGAAGAGTGAGGATGATCACCATCTTAGTGCTGAAGGCTATCTACTTATACTCTAGAGTGACTCTGTTAATAAGGATGCTGGGAGTCACGTGAGGCTATTTAAATTAAATTCACTGAAAATTAAATAAAATTAAAAATTCAGTGCCTCAGTCACATGAGCCAAATTTCAACTATTTGGTAGTCACACGTGGCTACCATATTGAACAGCGCAGGTTAGAATACTTCCATAATCGTAGAAAGTTCTATTAGACAGTGCTGTTCTAGAACTTACTAAGATCAAACCTGAACTTTCCCCCATCCTTCCAGGGATACCAAAAGGTAAATGGCAAAGGATGCAAGTAATTTAGCTTTGTCGATGAATTAGAATTCTTCTTGAAATTCAGCGCAAATGTGGCCTGCTTTGTTTGTCTACACATCTGTCAAGCATATAGTCAATGTGATTCAACACAACAAATGTCAACTTGAATGCCTGCTGTGGACAAGACACTGCCCTGGGCACCACCTGCAGAGTAAAGATGCACAAAATCTAGATCTGCTTCATATTTGACAGAATACGTAAGACTGGGACACAACTATAATATGAGATAAGAAAAATAGGTATGCTGGGAGAGATGTAAACTAAGGCATAGGTCTGCAGTGTTGTGCATATAATAGCCTTGTTAAAAATACAGATGCTCCAGTCATATCCACAGAGAGGAATATTCTGTGGTTTTGGGAGAGGCTTCCAGCATCAGGTATGTCTTCCCTCATGAAAACAGACACTGGAAAGATGGCTGTTAGGTATAAAAAGACAGAGAAGTCTAGGAGAATGAACATTCTCCTATAGATCAAGAAAAAGAGGACTGATAAACTAGCTTGGACACACATATTTGTGTACTGTTGACTATATCACATCAGCAACTTAACTAATGACTATTGTTAAAATATCCCATCACGATTCGTTTTTGAATCTTCAAAAGCCAAAAGAATAGTTTAAATCCTTGAGTAGAAAAATGAACTCAGGACTTAGTGTGATCTGAATGGAATTAAGAGGCAAACCAAGTCCTGAATCCACTAGAATTATTAAAAAGCCCCAAGCCAAGCAAAAGACAATATAGTCGATCCTTTGGGAACACATAAGTCATCTATTATATTTATCAAGCTATTAATTAACATAGGGAAATAGGCAATCCTTAAGAGAAAAGCACATATTTTTACAGATAAAACAATTTTGGAATATAGGAAAGCACTCCTGGGGGGGGGGGTGCAATATATAAAGCCGAGAGCAGCCTAGCAAAAATTATGTCCCGAGATGTTGCACTTACCAGATGACAAAAACGCTGAGCCCACACTGTCAACAGATATCTCCTGGCTCATCTTTTGGTGATAACGGCTTTAACATCAATGGCTCGTTCACTTGGGCCAGTGAGATGGATACACCTCCTGTGTTTGAGAAAAACCAGAGAAATCAGCAGCAAGTTCATAGCTGACTTTGATAACATCATAAGCTAAAATCACATAAGTATTAGCATTTTAATTTTTCCATCCTCATCCTGGATTTCTTTTTAGACCACCTATTCTAGCATATTGCAAACTCATCCCTTTACTTTTTCTTTAATTCTCTGTCTCCCTCTCTCCCTCCCTCTCTCTTTCCTCTCTCCCTCCTTTCCCATCTTTTCGTTTTTTTCTTCATTTTTTAAAGATCGGAGATAAAGGAGATTGCTCTTTCTTAACAGGATAAAGCAGGTAAAGAACAAGAATGTTGACTCGCTCAAGGCTGTCTTAATTTCCTTTGTTTGAACATATCCCTTCACCACCACCAGAATGCCTTCTTTAATGACAAACAATTTCCTGCTGTACCAGATTCCAAGATCTTAATCCTTGTGAAGGGCCATGCAAATGTTAGATTTGTAAGTCATATACAGTTGTTCCAAGGAATTTTTATTGAGTTTCATTGAACATGCAGGCTAAAATGCAATTTCTGGCTTTTATTAGACACTAAAAGTCTATGTTTCAACTAACTCAACAAAGAAAAATTTGGGTGCAATACATAGCAGATGGAAGGAAAGACCATAGTGTAAGACTGTACTGGTTGTACACTACTCAACTCCAGGATGAATGATTTACAAAGTGCTTGAATTAAACAGTGTCCCCAAGAGTTGTACAGTGTACAACCTGCTCAACTGTTCATGACGACCTTAACGAGAAGCTTTCTATATGATTATCATAGGTTACATGTTCACTCAATTAAGTATTTATCGGGCACTTATCATATGTAGGCTCCGTACTAAACCTTAATAAGCAAGATTGAGTAAGTCTCTGTCCTCATGGAGCAATACTTTATCGGGAGAGTAAATAATTAAGCAAACACTCACAATTAAAGTGTGCTAAGTACTGTGATACAAGAAATACTAAGTGCCACGAAACACAGAGGTTGGAGTCCCTTCGGAAAGAAGTCAGGGGAGATTCCTAAAGGCATTGATGGTCATTTTGAAATATTAGAGTGATATGAATTTGATAGGCCAAGTGAGCAGATGTGGTTGGGATGGGGAGAAGGTAGAGGATGCCTAGGAAACAACATTCCAGGAAGAACATTATACATGAAAAGGACTGAACAATGTGCGCTACGCTGAGTCATTAGCTACTTCCTGATGCCAGTTTTATTGGAGCCAAGTGCACTTGTCCTATCCGTGCCCATGGCAGAGCTGAGCCATGGGTCCTGCTTGGGGAAGACCTCATCTCTATGCAGTCGCCTGGACAGTTATGCTTTTGCCCCTGTTTAGTGACACTTATCTCTAATCTTATGCTTTGTTCTAAAGTAATTGGGGTACTTTGTTCCCCACTTGACTGTGGGAGCCCATTGAGGGAGTGTCTTAGCTCTCGATGTCCTATTATTCTATCTTTGCACGTGGTAGGTGTCCAATAAATATTTAGAGAAAATAATTAAACCGTCATCTAACGTAAGGTAAAGACTTGGGAATTTTATTTTTCCTTTCCCCAATCTTTCAATTAAGTTAAACCAACACAGACATCTAACCCAGGCAGATTTTGAGCCTGGATTTTCTGATTTCAGTTGTGCTATTAGTGAACACATAAGAGCACTTTCCTGATATTGTAATATGACAGAAAAGGACATTCAAACAAATAATGATATTTGCAGCAAAAGACTCATGATCTCATGTTTTGATTCCAATCTTATAAACACTTGAAAGTAGCTTTATAGGTGTCTCGGGCTAATTCTGAGAGAGCATATAGTTCTTGTGCAGTCATTGGAAAGAAAACACAGTATCCTGTTCCAATAAAAGTTTCAGACACGGCCATAAATCAGGCTCGCCTTTCAGAATGCAGCATTAGACCATCGGTTTGGGCGTAACATTTGGTAATATCATTGAGACGCTGAAGGCAATCATCATAAGCCACAGATACCCACAGCTCCAAGGGCAGCTCTATGCTGAAGCCAGAGCATGACAATGGCATGTGGTTTCTCGCCCGGTACGGAGACGACCATAGAGACAGACAGCCTGAAACCCATCAACGAGATCGGCCTTCGCCTTGATACTAGGAGAGCAACCTTTCCGAAAGCTCAGAAAAGACGTTCGAACCTCCACTGATAAGTCTACAACGACGGTGGGAGAAAGTTCTCGATTTATTTCCTTCAGCTTAAAATTGAAAAAATATTCGACTGTAAATCTGTGTACTGACTTAACACAATGGCACCATTCCTTTCTCTCATTCGTGACAACGTGGCCAGCAACAGTGAGAAGTGACCTAAAAAGGTTGGCTGCCATAATTTGGCTTATATCTTCAGCTTGCACTTAAATTAGGAGATTTTACTTTTAATTTTCTCCTGGTTTGGGGATTATAAATTCTCACAAGATCTGGTTCCAAGATAGCTATGCCGAATTTGGTCACCTATGACAACAATGGTATAAGTTAGAGAAATACTGGCTTCGAGACTTTTTCGGAGAACAAATTCAGATTTAATGCTGCCAATATCCCATATTTCTTAGGAGAAATATGCTGGAATATTTTATTTCACCTAGAGGGATACTCAATAAAAATGAATAAAGTCACCCATTTAAAAGCCTCTTATTTACTGTATATTCTCACTACTTTAAATTCTGACGATCTTGGATTACACGGGGCTGTTTCAACACTTAATTTTTCATGGTTTCTTGAGACTTCCCACAAAGCAAATACATTTTTCAGGTGCAAATAATTGATACGTTACAACAAAGATATAAATATCTTTACAATCAAGCATCTTTCCATATTTGCTTTGCACATAGTTGTCCAGTGAATGTTTCCGAATAAAAGAATGAACAGTTCTATAAATATTTATCCACGTCAATCAGCCAAAATATGGTAAGGCTAGACTGTGACTTGGATAATTTTCAAACAACATACTTCCAATTGCAAAACGCAGTTCAAACCACTCAGCATTTTCAGGCCACTGCTGCTCTGGGCCTTAGCTCTACGCCCTTGCAGAAACCAGCCGAGCTCCCAGGAGCAGTGAGCACAATGACTGTGCCAAAGCCACCTCAGTGGGTGGCCCCACTCACCAGGCCACACGAATGTTCACCTTGCTCTGCAGGGCTCTCAGGAGCTCCATTATCTCCCCTGGTTGAGCCCTCAGGCTTCCTACGAAAACTCCTTCTTCATGAGCAAAGGATCGAGCCTTTGCTAGTTCCCAGCACCCACCTTTATCTTAGCTGGGAGGATTTAAGGAACTCTGGTTTAGTATCTGGAACACCCTTTCATACTTGCTTGGCTGCGACTTTGGCTCTGTATCTTGCCACCAGTTCTTACAACTGGATATCTTCTTTGTTCCCAACACGGTTGCCTCGCCTGTGGCCTCCCGGATCACGTCTTGGGCACAATCTATATCTCAGTAATTGGAATGAGCTCAGCTTCCTTAGGAATGTACCATCTTCATTCCTTTTTAGTACCGTATAGTGATGGAGGGCTGTGTTCTCTTGCTCCCTACGAACTCGGGAAAGAGCATTTCTGAAATATCCTGCCTGCCAGCTGCTGAGATTGTCAAGCATCCCCATTGCCAATGCGCTTCTTGCATTTGTCGGACACCCCACTGGACCCCCTAATTCCTGTTTTCTGTAGCCGCGATGGTTGGATCCTGTGTGTAAGTTCACATTCTCTGATAGTCAAATGCAGAGACAGGAGGAAGTGTGCAAGGATTCCATTAGGGACTGTGCCTGCGTGAAAGGACCTAGGATGGGAAATGGAGAAGGCTGGGAGAGCACTCAGTGAAGGAGAGAAGGGGAGAAGGTAGAAGCTCCCAGTCTACCTTTCAGCCTTAGGAATGTTCGAGAAAGCTGTCAGGGCATCTTAACCAAAGTCACCTATCAAAGGGGTAGGTGACTTTGGTTAAGTGACTCTCAGGGTAAGGCCCGTCTTAGTATCCCCTGGTCATTTAGCCATTAGGAGGGAGCAGCCTGTGGCAGGGGGCTTTAGCGCAAACTCCATGATGGACTGCAGAGGGCGGCAGCTGGGGCCCTTGGTCAGTCACACCCCCGTAGTCACAGGTCTGCCAGGTGCATGCTCATGGCCTTCACCACCTGTCAGGCTGGACTTCCTCCCAGCACCCGAGGCTGCGTCTGTACCCCAGGAGCCAGGCCCACCCTGTGAGCATGTTACTTTACTGCCAGGTCCCAGCATGTCCCAGTCTGCCCCATCCGCCCGGAGTCAGGATCACAAGTAGCACTTTCATGTGTGAATTCCCTCTTGGCACTTCTCAGAGACTTTATATGTGTTTTTAAAACCTAAATGCTGAGAAAAATTAGTCGAGACACTGAGGAAATGAGAGAAGGTGTTCTAATTCTCTTCCGAGAATTAAAACTGAATAACCAACTTAGAGACATCACTGGCTTGATGAAAGCTACTGACACGAAGTCAAAAGTAAGAGCAGGAAGATGACGCAAGGAGGCAAAGAACAAGTTCGGCATCTCCGGAACCGGGACAGGAGCACAGAAAATGGTCGCGAACAGAGCATTCAGCTTTTCTTGCAGCTGTTGCCATGTTATGCATGTGTGTTCATTGCAAATAAAATATCAATAAGTTTATATGCATAGGATACTTTATACAAACAGTTATTACTGGTGTTTAAGAAAGGACAAGTTTTGGAAGCAATTGGCGGTCTCCATGTGTGACTGTGGGGAGGGCTGTTAATGTCATAAGGAGATCTGAATGTAAAGTGATTCGGATACTACCTAATAACGCTTGCCGGCATTTACAGTTTTGAATATTTGTTATAGGCCACAATTCTTTGTAAATAATGCGAAATCGAAGATTCCTTATTAAGTAAACAATTTTGAACATCTATGTTAATAAAGAGTATGAAGAATATTGGAAGCATTTTAACAATAATGCATACTAGAGAACAGCTCATGAAATTCCTCAGGATTCTAATATCTCCTGAGACCTGA